GGCCGCCCGAAGAGCTGGCGCCGTGACGGGGCAGACACTTGGGGGATCGACCTTTTTTGGGCGCCCCTCAGTCCCTCCCCCCACCTCGGCCCAAGTTCTGAACCTGGGGGAGATTCTTCGGGAGCAGACAGGTATTCCTGCTCCAGAGTTGGGGGTCCTGGGGGTGACCAGGCCTGTCGATCAGGGTGGAAATTGTCTCTCTGCAGGGGGCTCTTCCTGCCAACCTGGGCGGGGGGGGGTGAGGCTCAATGTGACCCGAGGGAGGACGGGGAGCGTCTGCTGGACAGATGGCCTCCTGGCCTTGGATCAGGGCGTGTGAGGGGGAGGGGTCCTTATGACCTTAGGTATGCCTGCCTCGGAGCACCCCAGGATTACTGAAGCTGCTCAGGGATTTTTTTTTTTTAACTTTTTTTTTCTTTCAGTAAGCCAGAGGTGGCATTAAAAATCCTGGATTGAAATAAATCCATAATCCCACCCGGGGAAACATGTCTGGCACCCAGGACTAGCCTGGAATAGGACTGGCAGTAGGAGAATGGGACTTGGGGATAAGATGGTATTTGGCCTAAGGCTGGCCCACTTGCCTTCAGCTCTGTTGGTGGAGGGCCTGTGGGGTGCGTCTGTTGCTGTGTACAGTGTGGCTGAGCATACAGGATGTGGATAGACAGATGCCTGGTCTGCTGGGTGCTTGGTGGGATTTGAGGGGTCTGTTTCCTCAAACTTGCAGGTACATTATACAGTGAAAGAGAAGAGGAAGCAAGGTGCTAGCCCACATATTTTTTTTACCATTTTCCAGTTTTTCTGCTGGTCATGGCTTTAATTCATTCAGTAAAATTTTACTGAGCATTTACTATGTGCCAGGCACTGGACTAGGTGTTGGGAGTACAGTAGTAAACCAGATAGACATGATTTAGCTTGAACTCATAGACTAGTGTGGAGACCCAATAATAAATACTCTTGAAATTTCATTCAACAACAAATATTTGGCAACCAATATGTGCCAGGCATTGTTTTAGATGCTGTAAAGAAAGCAAGCAAAAATAACTGCCCTTATGAAGCTTTCATTCTACTGGGGTGGTGGGTGTTGAAGGGGAAGACAATAAAATAAAATATAGTCTGTTAATAAGTGCTAAAGAGAAAAAGAAAATAGAGAAGGAGGATATGAGTTATTGGGTGGGGATTGAACTTACATCTAAGTGGCCTGGAAAGGCCTCCTAAGAAGGTGTCTTTTGAATAAAACTTTGAAGAAAGAGGTAAACTAATCATTTCAAACTGTGATGAGTACAAGGAAAGAAAGGTGAAGAGAGTGGTGAGAGATAGGGGCCTTGATTTGGGTTGGGGGGTTCAGGGAAGGCTTCCTGGAGGAAGTGACATTTAGGCTGAGACTACCTGAGGGAGAGTTAAGAGTTAACCATGTGTGGAGCAGTACAGAGCTTGGCAAGTTGGAGGAAGTGAAAGAGGCCTGTGTGTCTCAAGGAGGAAAAGGAGAGGGGAGATAAGTCTATGGAGAGGTGTGCCTGATCACTGGGAGCCTTGGGGACCGAATGCCTTCCCTCCTTAGTTTGGATTGTATCCCTAGTGTAATTAGGAACCTTTGAAGGGTTTTAAGTGAGTGACATGATGATATTTACAGTTTAAAAGTTCTCTGGTATGGACAGAGATAAGCAGGTAAGGCAAGGCTTTCTGTGTCCCAAGTGGCCTAACCACTGGATCAGCTATGAAAAGCCTCCAGCAGGCTGGGGAGGATCCTCTTCCTCAGAGAGACCATTTTGCCCAGCTTTTAGGAAGAGAAGGGAAAATGAGTTAACATTTATGGAGTGCCTGTTATGTGGGAGAATCAATTTTAGAGACTTTTGCGAACATTATCATATTTAATTTAATCTTCTCTGAGCTCTAAGAGAAAGGGGTTGTCCTGCCCCCTTTATATATACAAACTCGGAGGAGGTAGATGACTTATCCAAATCCACATTTGTAACTTAATCTGGATTCAAACCCAGATCTTCCTAATTCCAGACCCACTGGCTCTGGAACCAGACTACTGAATTTGCATTTTGCTTTTACCACTTGCTAACTGAACGATTCTGAGTTATTTAATCTCTCTTATGCCTCAGTTTTCTGGTTGGAAAAGCCTCAAGCTTTTTCCAGCTTAAATGCGGATAAAAGTTCTTGCCTCCTAAAAGTGTTGTGCTGATCAAATTAACTTAGCTCAAATGTTAGTTGCTACAATGACTTAATTTTTTGAAACATCCATGCTGCCTGTCTTTCAGCCTTGTCGTTTTGGATTAGATTAAATATACAGATAAAATTTAATTCTTGAATATTGTGAAGCTTCTTTTCCCTCCCTTTTCCTCTAAATAATGCCAATGTTCCATGTGATCTATCATTCAACATTGATCTCCCATTTCAGTCTTGACACTGCTAGGGCTTATGGATACAATGTGAGCTCCTTCCCTCAAGAAGCTAAGAGTATCCAGAGGAGGTCAGATATTTAAAGGAATGAGCTACAATGTACTTAACAAGTTCTCTAAAGCTCCTGTACTTCCAGAGCTTTTGGAAGAGTAAGACCTAGATGCCTGGGGCAGTAGAGGAGGCTTCATGGCCAAGGTGACTTTTGCACTGGGCTTTGGAGGAAGAGTAAGAGTTTTATAGGCACATAAACTGGACAAAAGACATTCTGTGTAGTGAGAGTCATGTGTGAAAGCATGGAGCCTGCATGAGAGGCTTGATTTGTCCAGGGATGAGGCTGGGAAGCTGAGTTAGAGCTGTGAAAGGCAGGTTAAGTTTAGATTTAATTCTGTAAGCCACAAGGACCTGTCCGAGAGTATTAGATACATCTAATACATACCTTGATGGGCGTTGCAGTTAGAGAGTGGAGACAGATATCATTCTGGGGGGTGACGTTGTTTAGGTGGGTTCTGGTTCTCAGTTTCATAAGCCTGAAATTCAGTTTTGTAGGGCACTCGGAGCTGATTAGGTCCAGGGAGACTGACTAACCAAACTTGGAAGAGACTGATGCATAAACTCAGGGTATTAACTAGCCACGAGGAAGGAAACTGCAGAATGACAGATGTTTTGTCCTTTGGCCATGGCCTTTCCCCCCTAGGTCCCCACCCCCACTTCTGGCAAGGGCTGGAACATACTAACAAACTCTTGCTCTTCAATTCCCCTTTGTTTTTCTCAGGCTCCATGAAAACTAACCCTTTCTGTTAACAGAATCTTTCCTCAAGCTTTGTACAGTGTAGTTAACAATGATTATTAATCGATAGAGTGAATGTTTCTGTATCATTTGGGTGAGATCCTGTGTTTGTGAAACTTAAGGAAAAGGAGGAATAACTTTTTAAGAAATAAAATATTGGAAAGGGTATTCCCTAGAATTGGGTTATTGGAGAAGGTATGCATATTCCAAGTGGTATGGATAATTTTGTGGCCTGGGAGGTAGTTGTGGACAGATAGATTGGAAATTGTTCTGGGTGCAGAGGTCTGTGAACTCTCGAAAGAGGTGGGAGGCTTTTGGTTGCACTTGAAGGAGCGGTTGGTTTAGAATTTTTATCTTCCCTACACACTGAAGACAGAAGAGAAGGTGATAATTCCTACCCTCTACTCAGCCTGGTCATGGTGAACTTTCCTATTGGATTGGAATCTTCATGAGGTTTGAGCTACATCTTAACACTTCCTTTTGCTTCCATGAAACTGGAAAGAGTGGTGGCCCCTCTAGAATTTTGAATCTATTTTTTCCTACAGCAAAGAATAAAACCCAAATAGACCAACCTAGATTGTGGATTAATTACTTTTCTTTTAAAACTCTACTAAAGAATATTCATGTGGAAAATTTAGACAATACAGATAGGTATACAAATGAAATAAAACTAACCGATAAATCCTATAACCTAGAGCTACTGTTAACATTTTAATATTTAGTGTTTGTATTAGGCCTTTGTCTCAAGGTCTATCTTTATATGTGACTTTTAACTTTTTCTTTTCCTGCAAAAATAGGAATATCCTTAACGGGAGAGAGTTCTGAGTGTTGATGTCTGTGAACAATCTGTGCATGTTTCCATTTGTGGGCATCTGGTCCATTGTTCTCCCCCTTTATGTCCTAGGAGTGTAGGATGTGATATCCAATAGTTTATTAATTTTGAGAAATGTTTTTAGGGGTCCAAGTGCTACTTCAGCCAACTATTCGCTTTTACTTGACAGTGAGAAGTATTTATGTGTGTGCTGAAATGACAGGTCGGATCCTTTTTATGACTGAAAGAAAAGTTAATGAACACGTTTTGAGTTTGGTGTCACCACAGAGTCATTCCTCAAACCCATCAGCACTTAGAGAACAGCTGTCCTCTGTTCACTGTGTGACTTTGGGTAAGTCCTTTGCTTTCTCCATTTCAGATTCAGGTGTTGTATCAAGAGGAAATGGTGTCCCCCTTCCTCTCATTCACATGCTCCAGGAGATGAAAAGGATGATGATGTTTATTTGTGTGACTGACTGTGGAAAGACTGCCGCAATGTTGTGTGAAGAAAAGGAGTATGTCTACTGAACTCCTGGCCTCGAATTAGTCTGTGTGTGACACAGGGCGTCTGTATAACTTTGTTATGTCTCTTTGTGAGCTCCAGAATTATTGGAGCCCCTTGAAATTTTTTTTGAGTGGGTCAAGGGGAGCATTAAGGGTCTTCTGCAAAACTAAATCCACAAGCTTATCCAGAGATGCAAGAGCAACCACTCTAGGTTTCACTCAGAAGAGGTTTGCTTCCTCTGCAGGACAGAGTTTACTGTACGATCTCCTTATCTCTGAGTGGTGGGATTGGGTGGTTTTT